GCAGAACTTCATCGCTGAATCTTTCTAAGAAAGATTTTTGCAGCGCTTCAGCGCTCACCTTACTATACTAAAACTACAGAAAGAGAAGTCGAATCATGTGGACCGAAATGTTCGGGGGATAAGAAAAGAAAGACTTTTGAATAAAGAGAATGGTGCAAGAAATATGAGAGTCTAGATGCTCTTAATTATAGTAATTGAATTTTTAAAAACCACCATCTATATTTACTTAAATGACTAAACACCCATTTATAATATTATTTTAAATAGATTTAATGGTATTTGTAGTAAACTATGTCGAATGTACTCAACACTAACTAGTCTTATAACGACCGCATTATCGATATCTTTCTAATGATATATATATATATATATATATATATATATATATATATATATATATATATATATATATATATATATATGTATATGTATACCTATATATGATTTACACTTTATTTAAATACGTAAATGTGCTATTAAAAATTATAACTCGTTCATACGAACTCTATTTTTGACGTTCTTTATATCCATGGGTAACTATCGACGAGATCTACAATTTTCGTTTAGATTCCTTCGGCTAATTTTGAATTTATATTTTTTTCCAAATTTTTATAAAACTAAACAATTTTCCTAAAATCATAACTCTCTTGTACGGACTCCATTTTGACATTATGTTTCTCAAAATTCATATTTTAAGGAGTACAACGATTTTCTTTTTGGTCGCATTAGCTAAAAGTCAACCATTCTCTTCGTTGTTTTTTACGTCATACATTCATTGTGCGCGGCTGACTTTTATATCGTACACAAATCATTTCTAATTCATACGGATTCATATTTCGACGAAATTTATATTTTCAGGGTTGGGACAACGTATAATTCCTATATGTGTGTGTGTGTGTGTGTGTATATATATATATATATATATATATATGTTTTGAAGCACTTATTTTTATGATTTATGGACGATTCAACTGATTTTTCTATTTTATTATATTATAATAATCATGAAACATATAATATTCAAATAATTCTTATTTATTACGTCAAATAGGTTACAATTGTTAACCTTAATTATTACTTTGGTTAAGATTATTTATCCTAAAATAATCTTTTATAAAAATTAAAAAAAAACATTTTTAACGTTTATTATATATCTTAATTGACTAGCTCGAATATACGGGTGTTACACCATTGTTTTGGGTAAACATATCAAATTACCGTTTCATTCATCTAGTTCTGTTACTATTTCCCAATTTGATACTATACATAGTGATGTTTTAACCTCCCCAGTACTTTCATCCGGTGGTCACAGTAAATTTTTTACCTTTCTTGGATGATTACACAAACTTTTTATGGATTTTTCCCTTATCTCATAAATCACAAGTCCTAACCACTTTTCGAAAATTTCATACTCTTATACAAACAAATTTTAATAAAAATATCAAGTCACTACAATGTGACAACAGAAAGGAGTACGCCAACAAACTCTTCCACGAGTTGGCCTCTCAACATGGCATCAACTTTCGTTTCTCTTGTCCGTATACATCATCCCAAAATGGAAAATAAGAAAGAAATATATGATCCATAAACAATATAATTCGGACCATCATATCATACTTCCAGGTCGCTTCTCACTTCTAACACTCCGCTCTCCCCATGCTAAATATTTGCTCAACATTCTTTAATCCAAAGTGCTTTCTTACGACACACCCACTCATAAACTTTAGCATCACAATCCCTCATACTCTCACCTAAGGGTTTTTGGTTGCCTTTGCTACCCTCTTTTAAGCTCTACAACCATTCAGAAACTTCAACCCCACTCTCATCCTTGTGTCTTCCTCAATTACCCACCCGACCATTGTGGGTACATGTGACATCCTCATTTTCAGTAGCGGTGTCAATCGGGTAAATTTTTCGGGTTTCAGGTAATTCATGTTAAAAAATTTACCCGTTACCCTACCCTTACTAAATTTGGGTAATTCGGGTAGTGGGTCGGGTAAGGGTAATTCGGGTATTACCTGATTTTTTTTTAATGGGACCTAAATATAAATTTAATTAAATAAGTATTTTATGCTCAAATTTTGAACATTGAGATTTTTTACTCAATAATATTTGAGATATAAAGTATTCGTTTAACGATTTAATCAAATCTAATAAGATGTTAAAAAACAAATACTTAAAAGAAATAATAACAACCAAAGTCAATCATTTAAATTACTTGATATCAATGTATATGCATATATTTTGCATTTACCAAAAAAACTCACGTCGTCAATCCAAAAAACATAGAAATCCATTACATATTACGAAAATAATAACATTCAAGTTCCAAAAGACATTTATAAATATACCCGTCTTCTTGCACCTACTCGTTCTTCTTGCACATTCACTACTTCATCTTGCTTAATTCTATATAAAAAAAGTCAAATAACGTTATTATTAAAAGGAAAATATATTAAATGTACAATAATTAAAATATTGAACGATAAACAATTACCTTTGTCAATTTGTTGATTTTCTTCCCAATCTTTTTCATAATCAATTGTGTCACTTATGCTACCCCGAATCCAGTATTGTGTACAAATTAAACTTTCAACAATCTTAGGAGTCAAAGAACTCCTAAACGGATCCAACACCCTCCCACTAGTGCTAAAAACGGATTCCGAAGCCACGGTTGAGACGGGAATGGCAAACACATCTCTAGCCATCAATGATAGAACCGGGAATCTTGGACTATTCACTTTCCACCAATCTAGAATACTAAACATTTCTGAGTCGTCTTCAACACTTTCTTGCAAATACTTTTCTAACTCCCCAATTGATTCAACTATGTTCGTCTTCATTTTTTCTCTTAGTTTATTTCTTAATGGGGGATTAGGTGCCATAAAATCCGAGTTTTGGCGTTTCCCTAGTATCGATGATGAAGTGGTAGACTCGGCAGTACTTGAAGTAGAACTTGGAGAATGAATTCTAATATAATCATTATATAATTCATACATAGAACCCATGATATATTTCTTTTTGGCCTCCACCTCCTTTTCTCCATAACGATCCTCAAGTAGTATAACCAAATACTTTACTTTGTTCCTCGGATCAAGAATCAAAGCAAAGTAAAGCAATAATTTCATTTTTTCTATGTCGCCAAAATACTTATCAAACTTTATTTTCATGGCCAATGCAATATCACAAAGACTAGAATCGGAAATAGCATCATCCAAGAGCGTACGAATGGAATATATATCTTCAATGCATGTGTTTGATGTCACATAAAGTGTCCCGGAAATCCTCAAAGTAACATCATGAAAAGGTTTTAAAAAATGACATACATTCCTAACCCTTTCCCAATCACTTGATGAAGGTATCGACAAACCCACCTTTTCAATTTCGTACCGAAAATCAAATTCTTCAAGATCATATCTCTCAAAAGTTTTTTCGTAAGCTTGGGTAATTTCCAATATATGGTAAGTAGAGTTCCATCTTGTTGGCACATCTCTCTTCAAGTGTTTTGTTATACCGGGATTAGCAACCTTAGCAAACTCGATAAACTTATGAATTCTAGAAGGTGATTGCCTAATCCATTTAACCGCCCATCGAACTATCTCCACCGCCTTATCAACTTTTTTTATGCCATCTTGCACCACTAAATTTAAAATGTGAGCAATACATCGAATGTGCATCCATTTCCCATTTAGAAGACACTTGTTGGAGTTTTGAAAACTTTTTTTCAAGAAGTCAATTGCCACATCATTCGCACTTGCATTGTCAACAGAAATTGTGAAAACGTTTTCTATTTCCCACTCTGTTAAACATTTCTCAACCATTTTCCCAATATCAACCCCACGGTGACTCTCTTGAGAAGAAAAACACAACACTTTTTTTTTTTAATTTCCATTCGTTATCAATAAAGTGAGCGGTGAGACACATATAACATGATTGTTGTTTAGAAGTCCACGTATCGGTGGTCAAACATATTCTACCAACATTTTTTTTAATAAAGTCACGAATTTTTTCTTTTTCCTCTACAAACAATTGGTAGACATCCGTTGTGCTTGTACTTCTACATGGAACTTTAAACAATGGTTGATTAACACTATTGTAACACCTAAAGCCCGCACCTTCTACAAAGCTAAAAGGAAGTTCGTCAACTACCAACATGTGGGCTAGAGCTTTCCGACTCTGCTTTTGATCAAATTTCCAAGCCGACAATTTGTTTTCATCACCATATTGGAAAGTTAGTTGTTTTTGCCCACCATTAAGTGTAGCCAAGTAAACTTTACATTTATTTAAATGATAACCTAGATTTTTGGTCCCATAACTACCCGATTCACACTTATAATTCCCACCACCACAATGCTTATATTTACATCTTTGAACACCGTTTTCGTCCTTATACCTTTCAAATTCATTCCAAAATTTCGATCTTGGGTTGAATTCTTTAGTTTTTTTCTCTTTTTCTTGTGGAACTTGATCATTTGTTGGGTTGTCAACTTTAATCGTCTCGTCTTCCACTTCAATATAGTCATCCGTTTTTGACATCTAAGATAAGAAAAAAAAACAGAAAAACTGTTAAGAAACATAAAAAAAACAGGAAAAAAAAACATAAAAAACAGCAAAAAAAACAGGAAAAAAAACATAAAAAACAACAAAATATTTCAATGAAAACGATGAATTGTCTCTAGAATTAGAAATGGCAAAGGTTATTATTGTTGTGGTGGGGAGACCATGCAACTGTTGCCCATATAGGTATGGGTCTTGAGTGGGCAGAATTGTCCTTTCTTTCTTTCCCCACATTTCCACTCAAAGAACTATTCATTTATCCTCCAAAAATACCCTAATAAATACTTGTCAAATATTTCATTATTTTTTTTTCTAAATTAACGATAATTTTTCTTCTATATGCAACTCAAATTTCATTTCTCAATATTTACATAGTTTATTAACCAAAACAAGATCATTTTATATATTATTATGTATCTAGACATAATAATATATAAAAAAGAATGTTATCAAGAAAAAAGAATGTTAGAGTTTATGATTTAGTAATAAAGAAGTTCATCAAAAAGCTTGAAGCTGGAGTTCGTGAAGTCTCTTCTATCTCCATTCATCCTGGTGGTATGTTTCCAATTCTATCCCTTGTTTATTGTTCTATATCAATAATTTTTAATGAAAACTATATTATTGTTTTTATGCAGGTGATAATGTTATTGTGGGAAGTAAAGATGGAAAGTTATGTTGGTTTGACATGGATCTTTCTTCAAAACCTTACAAAGTTCTCAGGTATGTTTTTCATTAATACATACCATGATTGATATCAATGAATCTAATATTAACATATGATTTTTCCAAATGTGTTCAGATCTCACAATAAAGACATAACAAATGTGGCTTTCCATAGCAACTACCCTTTGTTTGCATCTTGTTCAGATGATTCCACGGCATATGTTTTCCATGGCATGGTCTATTCAGATCTGAATCAGAATCCTCTTATTGTTCCTTTGGAGATATATGCCCTCTTTTTATAGTGCTTCCTTAAATTTCCCATAAGTTGGGTAAATTACACCATTGGTGGATATGTTTTCTTCTAACTTATCAATATGTCCACAAAATAAATTTAAACCTTTTTCATCACCCAACGCAACCCAAAGTTCAAAAGAGTATCATCAGATTTGGAAAACAAATATAACCGAATGAAAGCTAAAACAAATCGAGCGGGAATATTTTATATATCTCAATTTGGGTATCTCCATGCCAAGCATAATTAAGATTTAAGATGAATCCCAACAAATTGTAAACCGTAAAATAAAAGCAATGCTTTTGCTTTTTCTTTAAATCGACATGAGCCTCATTCAAAGTTGCACTAGTTTGCTAATTTTCTATGTCAAAAAGAGAATCAATTGGTTGTTATTACTTACATTTGATTTTGAAGTTCAAATCCGTGATTTTTTCTTAGAGTGGGGACGAGTTGAAGTCACGCTGCAACGAGCCGACGAAGACCTGATGACTGGCGAGGCGACGGCGAGCCGATGACTACCTGATGACCGGTGAGGAGGTGGCGACGAACAGCTGAAGATGATCGACGATTTGACGATGACGAACGAAGAGGCACACAAGGGTTTTTTTTTATGTAGAGAAATAGAACGAGGTAAATTAAATTGGGTTGTGATTTGGGAATTGAGACGTTATATATATTTCGGGTAATTCGGGTATACCCGAAACCCAATACACTTACCCTTTACCCGAACTGAAAAAAAATCGGGTTACCCAATTACCCGAAAAAATTAACCCGATACCCGAATTACCCGATACCCGAAAAAATCGAGCGGGTAATTCGGGTAACGGGTATTTTCGACAGGGCTAATTTTCACGGCCAGAAAAGACTGATTTTGTTTATGCTTTATAAAAATCAGAGTATCTCTTTTAATAAAAACGTTGTGGAATTTGTTCCCATAAAAACATGATAATTTCATTATCAAAGCATTCCCGAAGAAATGTATTTTTATTCATTTTAAAACATTTGGGATGTTATCGTCAATACAGAAACATAAGCATAAACAGAACTTGCATTCATTTACACTAGTTATCTATATCTCCCTAATCTCTTAGTGTAATGTAACTTCACATCGTCACCTGTGATACAAGTAAACTGAGTGGGTCAGGTTGGGAAACCTGGTGAGTACATAGGGTTTTCAACCCACAATAATATAACTATTATGTTTAATCATCAAACAATTAACTCAATTACCCATCCTCATTATCTTCTTTATTCCTAAGCACCTTCCCTAAGGATTTATCCTAAGGATCGTCTCCTACATCATATTTACCTCTCATCTCCTTACATCGCATTTCCTTATATGTTTGTTCCTAAGGACTCTCCCTAAGGATCATCGCCTACATCGCATAGACAATATTGATTCAGGGATTACTCCCTCAATACGTGCCCAACAAGGGTTAGGGCATCATCGCATGAATACGTAGTTACAACATCGTCTGAACTCGTAATTCATAGTAAGGGTTTAGAGTATCTTCGCATGAATACGTAGTTACAACATTACCTGAACTCGTAATTCATCACCTACAAGTTATGGGTCTGGTGGTGTTTCCACGGGGTTGTCTATAATAGTCTGTGGTCGCCATCTATACTATGGTAGATGACTACATCTCCAAATTGTCGGACAAGGTTATAGTATCTTTCATCCTACATCACTGATTCATCATCCCCTATCTATCCTCACCTAATTATCATCACCTTCCTATCATCACCTATCTATCATCATTTTATTTCATCAAACATTAACTATTTCATCTACCCATGTTTTATCCCAACATATTTGTAGATATAAAATAAATATATAGTTTAAATCATTTAAAACATGTATAAAATCATTCATCCACCATAGACATCAAGTATCCAGATAATATGCACACATGGAATGTAATTTATATAAAATACTTCATATCTATGTGTAAGATGAAAGGGACCATGCACTCACTTGAAAAGGTGGTGATTTTGAACTCAGACAGCGCTTCGCTTCTTAAAAATAATTTCCTTCGACGAAACCTAGTATTATTACCACTAGAGTTTAGTTTATTATTCGCCGACACTAATTAATAGTCTAGTTATTATTACTATTATATAAGCGTTAAACAATACTTATATAACCCATAATAATAGCCCAAGTACTTATCATAAGTTACTAATAACGTTACTATAATTAAATAAAAGCTATATTAAAAATAGTGTAGGCGTAGCTCATTTACAACGACTTTTATAAAAAATCGGGCTTTTCTTGGAGCAGCGTTCCCGAGCCGAAAATCTCTTCTTCTCGGATCCGTCGAGCACTCTGGAGCTTCCGCCTCGTGCTAGGGGGTTCTCTAGGCTTTTCGGGGGGTTTCGAGGCTAGAGAGAGGTTCTAAAGAGAGAGTAAAGAGAATAAAGAATGAGAAAGGTGTGAAAAATGAGGGTGGGAGAGGTTATATTTATAGGGTGAAATATGGCTGAACTTGGTGTCACATGTCACTATCTGGTGGCAAGACTTGGGGAGAGATAGAAATGGTCAAGATTGTGTCACGTCATCCATTTTCGCACAGCACACTTCCGACTTCTAAAATCTGTAACTTTCACATACGAGCTCCGTTTTTTATGTTTCTTATATCCACACGTAGGAAAAACTAAGATCTAGAACTTTCATTTTGACTTCGTCGGCTAATTCTCGACCGATCTTAAATTTAACAGTACGAGAAGATTAGACTGTTAAATGACCGCGAAAAATTCGTAACTCCTTCATATAGACTTCGTTTTCGTCTGTATTTTTACCATTGAGTTCCTATTAATGAGATCTTCAACTCTCATTTAGGTCTCATAATCCAAAAACCGCTCGAACTAAAATTCGAGTTTCGGGTCGTGCATTGTTAAGCCAAATCTTAGAAAATTCATAACTTCCTCATATGAAGTCAGATTTGAGCGTTCTTTTTATGGAAGCTCTCAGGTTAACATATTCTATGACTTTCATTTAGATCACTAAGGCTAAAAGTCTCTCTATCATAAATTCACTATTTACGTCCCCCCGGTGCCGTGTCGGTTCTGTCGCAAAACTTCGACGGATCATAACTTCTTCGTTATAACTCGGATTTCGGCGCTCTTTATATGTACGGAACCCTTGAGACATATTCTACAAGTTGGTTATGATTATTTATTCTAAATAATCTTTTTTTGAAAAGTCATTTTCGACCCCTATTATCTCTAAATTGACTAAACTGAAGGGGCCTGGAATATACCTTATATGCTTATTGGGCTTAGAATATAATTTATATGCTTAATGGGCCTTAGTTGTCCACTTACATGTTTATTGGGCCAGGAATATACCTTATATGCTTATTGGGCCTGGAATATAATTCACATGCTTAGTGGGCCTTAGTTGTCCTCTTACATGTTTATTGGGCCCGGAATATACCTTACATGTTTAATTCGCGTAAATCCAGTTAAGGATCTTGTGAGACACTTCATTTGGCACCTATTGAGTGTACAACTGTAGCATGTAGTTATAACCAGAGTCTCTTGGAGAAAGAGCGGAAATTTCTGTATAGATCTATACGGGGGTGACACCCCACACCTGAGTTGTTCGCTACAGTTAAGCTAGGCCAGTCTAGGGTGATAAATCTTACCTTAAACAAGTCGGCATCTGAAAGACGTCATGACAGGCGAAATTGTCATTATCAAGTATGGTTATAACAACCCACTTAGAGGAATTAACACCATTATAAAATTTACGGGAAACAATCTTTTTATGGATAATACTAAACCTACACGCACTGGTACTCAACCTCGGGTGTTGAGATCATAAACAGGAAACATCAGGTTGTTTGGGATCATTCTCTTTATATTCTTACAAACATTAATACACATGCATTAATACAAGATTGGACACAAACATTTCAAACCGTTTTTCGGAAAATATCGGATTTTCTAGCAGTTACAAAGTAATACAAAACATTTTACTTAAACATGCTTATGAACTTACCAAAATTATATATGTCGACCTTTTTAAATTAACTTATATTCTCAAGAAATCGTTGAGCAGGTTGGTTAGCAAGAATACTTGGATAATTTGTTGTGTTTTGCTTTCATTATAATTTGGATATTTTGGCATGTAATATTGAAATACAATACTTGATGTAAACAATGACAGTTGTAATATTACGCGTGTAATGATGATGATGATATTTTGTTTTAATTATATACATTGTGATGATACTACAAAAATGAAGTCACTCAAGCACCCGTATGTTTCCGCCGTCTGGTTTGGGGGTGTAACAGATTGGTATCAGAGCATTGTTTATAGTGAAGTGGCATATCTGGTCATACAAGATATGCAACTATAAATACAATGGGACTAAAACACTGTAAATAAAATAATTAACATACATACCTAGGTGTGCATTAATACAATAACACTAAAAGTCTCTGGAGGAAACTGAACACCCTGGTTAAACCCAGACAATTATGTAGTCGTATTGGGAATAAATAGAGCCTGATCAACTATATTTATTCAAAATATGACCAACATATGATTGGGAGTGATCATGGTGGGCAATGAATCTAGAAACTTATCAACCTTGTAACCAAAAAGATTTTAAGGAACTCAAACATAAACAATTAAAAATACTATAGGAGTATTTGGAATGCTATCTATATACACTCTCCTTACATACTTCTCACCCCTTATGCAGACCCTATGGCCTGATTTCATCATCCAGTAGATCCCTACTTCCCCAACCATGGGAATGGGGGATGGTTAGAACCGAAACCGGAGGAAGATCCAGAAGAAGAACCCGAAGAAGGACTGGCAGAATCGGTAACGGACTCAAATGAGGAGGATGTTTGTAACGCCCGGGTTTTCAGGGCTAAGCATTTTTGTCAATGTAATAGTCTAGGTCAACTATTGTAACTCTTTTTGAAGTAATAAATATGAAATATTTGAGTATTATGTGAATTATGTGTGTTTATGTGTTTATTATTTAATTA